CTGCAGTGCGTGTGTGTGTGTGCATGAGAGTGTGCGTGAGAGTGTGCGCGTGCGTGAGAGTGTCGTGGTACTGACAGCGCCCTCTTGTGTCTGGCAGCTCGCAGCCTGCGTCTGAGCGCTTGGGAGAGCCGGATCGTGGAGCGGCTCATGACTCCCACGTTGTCCTTCCTGGCCCGCAGCCGGAGTGCCGTGACCCTGCTCAACGCCAGTGACTCCCGGGACCCACGTGAGTTTTAACCCCGACGATCCGCCCCTCTGTCTCTTTAATAACGACTCATCGCTGTCAATCAAGAATGGACGTGAATAGCGCGATCTGTTAAACATGGAAGCTTCGAGAGATGAACGTTTAATACACTTTGTGACACATTAGTCTGTCTTTCACCCTAAGGGTGAAATCCCCCTTAAAATGAATTCTAAACTATGAAATGAACATCATATCAACAACACAATCTGATGGCTAATTGGTGTGGTTAATTCTCCCCTGTAATACCGGGCTGCGGAACTAAACACCACAGAAACGGCTGAGTTCTCTCTCGGTTTCTTTCATAGATTAGATGCGGTGTGGTTCCTAATTTCACGCGGTGCAAGTAAATAAGTGCTCATCCAAACCGTGACCAGTTAAATCCTGTGGAGCCTACAGCAGCTCTCCCTTAAGGTTTACGGTCACCCAGACGACCACCCAGGATAAATGTATCTGCAGCCATTACGTCCTCAGGAAGTGGTTGGAGTGGCATATCATCATCATCAGGACTAATTATTAGGGGTTGAGACCTGACCTGGTCCGTCTCGCCTGTTCTTTTTTCTCTCCGTCTTCCGCTTCACCTCAGACTCTCGCCACTGTTCCCGCTCAGCCTCGGCCAGTCCGCTGGACTCCTGCTCCCGCCCACACACACACCGGGACTCCTCGGAGCGCTGGAGGGGCGGAGTGTCGGCCAGCACGCCGGATATAACGCAGCGCCAACGCCGACGGAACTCGACGCCGGTTAGCTCACCTCCTCACCACACACACACACACACACCACACACACACCACACACACACCACACACACACACACACACCACACACACACACACACCACACACACCACAAACACACACAACACACACACACACACACACACACACACACACCACACACACAACACACACACACCACACACACACCACACACACAACACACACACACACACACACACACACCACACACACACCACACACACACACCACACACACCAAACACACACACACCACACACACACACACCACACACAACACACCACACACACACACACACCACACACACACACACCACACACACACACACACACACACACACACCACACACACACACACCACACACACACCACACACACACCACACACACACACCACACACACCAAACACACACACACCACACACACACACACCACACACCACACACCACACACACACACACACCACACACACACACACAACACACACACACACACACCACACACACACACCACACACACACACACCACACACACACACCACACACACACACACCACACACACCACACACACACACCACACACACACACACACACACACACACCACACACACACCACACACACCACACACACACACCACACACACACACCACACACACACCACACACACACCACACACACACCACACACACACCACACACACACACACACACACCACACACACACACACACACACACACACACCACACACCACACACACACACCACACACACACCACACACACACCACACACACACCACACACACACCACACACCACACACACACCACACACACACACACCTTAACGACTCACATCGCTTTCTCTGTGTTCTCGAAGTTTGATAAGAAGAAGAAGGAGAAGAAAGACAAGGAGAGGGAGAATGAGAAGGAGAAGAACGCTCTGTCCAATGAGAAAGTGCCGAAGAAGACGACGCCAGCCTCAACATCCGCCGCTCCCAGATCCAGGAGGGAATCAAGGTGTGGTTGAACTTGGAGCTCAAGAACAAAAGATGGAGTTGAACCCAGACTCAGTCTTGATCTGAACAATCAATCAACTTAACACTATGTGTCCCTATAGTGCAACTCTACCTATCTAGAACTCTTTTAACAAATCCTATTTTCAACTTTCAAAGAAGCTATCGATCTGCTACAGAAGTAGAGTAAATGTGCACATACAATACATAGTGACACAGTTTTGTCTTATCCTCTGGTACATAATCTCTCTATATAATCATAGATTTTGAACTATTTCACGTCGGCCATCTTGTCTCTGATCTTATCTTATCCGCTCCCAGGGTGCGTTAGAGGTAAGGGGTCTTTACTGGGCGGGCTTCGTGCTGAGCGTAGGGGGGTTTCTTCTGCTTCGGGCGAGGTTAAATGGCCTGTCTCCCTGACAGATGGTCCAGACTGTTCTAACTGGGCCCAGAGAGACGCTGAACACTGAGGAGGTCTGTAAAGAGGGGGGTGAAGGGGGCAGTCCTCAGGATAAATGGTGTTTGCTGGGTGATGCTGCTCATTGCTGGGAAAACAGTGAAACCATGTCTGTGTCATGAATGCCACCCTAACTCATTTATAGTGTGCTACTTTTGACAGTACACAGTGAATAGGGTGCTACTGGAGGCTTAGACACGGTCTTCTCTTACGTCAGACAATGGCTCATATTCTAGAGGTCTAGAAAACACTGAGTCGTGTGTCGTAAGACTATTATTACTCAGCGAAGACATTCAGAATAGATACTGAATCACAGCATCTGTCCGACTTTTTTATTTAACTTCTATTTTATTATCAGCCATTTTGTATTGGTTAGCGACAGTGGGGGGGCTGAAAGAGCAGTAATGGTAGTGTACCTGTGAACCAGAGACTGACCACAGGACAGCCCCAGATCACTACAGTTGGCCTGACATGTGAAAATGTGATGTTACACAACCTGCAACTTGTCAATGAACACATTTAAATAATGATATTTACCTCCTCTTTTCCTCGCTCTATCCCTCTCTTCCTCTTCTCTCCCCTTCTTCTATCCTTTTTTCTCCCAATTCCTCGGTTCTCATCCGTTTTCCTGCAGCAATGCCCCAAAACACATAAACAGACCAGTGTCACCTGTGGCTCCCAAAAGCAGACCACTGTCCCCCTGCCCCCCATCAACGTGTAAGACCCCCTCCACAGGCAAGAAGACCCCGACAGGCACCAAACCACGACCCAAACGGGCCCAGACACCTGCCAGGGTACAGTCTCAGCCCGTTGCCGCAGTTGCTGTGGGAACAAACAGCGAGCCACAAAATCCTGTCACCCCTGTGGAGACGAAGAGTAAGTGTACTTGCCATGGTTACTGTATCAACGCACCAGGTTTTGTTAAAGAGGCCCTGGGCTCCAGTTATCCCAGTAGTGTAACTGAAAGACACATTGTGTGGTCATCAGCTGTGTTCTGGGACATTTACATAATTCGATATATCTAGACTTCACGCTCTACATTTATCTTTTATTATGAAAATCTGCTCTACTGTGAAGGCAGTACACAGTAGACAGGACGGTGCATCAGGTTCCACAGGCCAGGATCTCCTTTACAGTAAAGGCCATACAGTAAATCAGGTTCCACTGGCCATGATCTCCTTTACTCTAAAGGCAGTACAGTAAATCAGGTTCCACTGGCCAGGATCTCCTTTACTGTAACACCATACAGTAAATCAGGTTCCACTGGCCAGGATCTCCTTTACTCTAAAGGCTGTACAGTAAATCAGGTTCCACAGGCCAGGATCAGCTCTAATGTTGTTTGTCTTCAGCTGCTACTGAGACCTGGATTTAATGCCTTATCCTGCTGGGGTTTTCTGGGTCCACGACCGGTCATTGATCTGAACCAAGGCCTCACCACTCTCACCTTCTCCAGCAGACCCTGGTGATGTTCCTGCCATAACGGTGTCTTCAGCTCCGGTGACACCACCATCCCATGCTGCCCCAGTCCCCACCTGCAGCCCTGCCTCCGCCCTCGAGCCGGCTTCCACTCCGGCCTCCACTCCGGCCTCCACTCCATCCACTCCCTCCTCCGCCTCAAACACCCCGTCTACCCCTGCAACTCCAGCAGCTCCAGCCTCCAGGCCCTCAGCCGGCACTAACAACCCAGAGGAAGCGGCACGAATCATGGCTGAGAAACGCAGACAGGCTCGGGAGCAGCGGGAGCGAGAGGAGCAGGAACGCCTAGAGCAGGAGCAGAGGATACGGTGAGTCAACAGACTGAGTCAACAGACTGTCAGTTAGTCAGTCAGTCAAATTACTAGCTGTTGTTGATAAGACATGTACATAGATTTGGGTGAATGAGTTTATCTGTTTGTGGCGACATCATGGCTGTGAAGGGTTTCCTGTATTAATCGTGCACAATATAATGTGGGTACTTAATCCTATGTCACCTGAAAGAGTTGGCTCGTTTAAGCACAGGCCTAACAGATATGGATCCCTCTGCAGGATTGCTCGCGAGGAGGGCATGGCTCGGGAGGCAGAGGAAAGGAGGCGCAGGGAAGAGGAGGCGCGCCTCATGGCAGAAGAACAGCGGCTGAGAGATGAGGCCCAACGTCTGGAGGACGAGAAGGAGGCGCAGGACAAAGCCAAGGCTGAACGGGAGGAAAGCAAACGCCTGATGAAACAGGTGAGCTATATGGGCATTGTGGGTAATGTAGTTTTGACATACTGCAAGTAAAAACGGTATCTTAGAAATGTGTGTGACACAGGCAGCCGTTATTCTGCATATATTCGCAGGCTTTCTAACGATGACACAACAGGAAAATGGGTTAAAGTGGGATTTGCCAGGTGGGGGAACCCTCAAATTTTGTGTAGATACAAGAGGGAAAAAGACAGTCAGAGACTAAGAGCCACATTTTTTTACTCTGTTACCGCAAAGAGACACATCTTGCACATGGACAAAAATAATATTCTGAAAATAAAAGTTTAAAAACTATTTCAATAGACATATTGCAGCAACTGGTGGGGGGAATCGAACCAGCAACCTCTGGTTCTTAGGCCAAGTACTACCCACTGCACCAAACAGGCATATATTGGTAGGGGCGAGTAGTAGCTATTTGTTATAAGTCGCGCAATTTTAGTTAATTACAACGCTGTAATTCCCAGAATATGACGTAATTACGTCGGTTAACGTGTTAGTGAAGGCGCGGCCACGGGGTGATATTACGTTTTGATTGGTCGTTAAGCGTGTTTGTGAAGGCGGGGCCACGGGGTGATATTACGTTTGGATTGCGGAAAAACTCATTCAAAAGGAACACCAGGCTTGCTGCATTCTGCATTTTGCATTTTTTTTAACAATAGCCTTCCATCACCACATCATTGATATTAATGAATCTATTTATTTAATAATTTATCTGAGGTGCCGGAACGCAGTTCCGGACCGTTCCGGCCCACTTTAACCCCTGACTGCAACCATATTCAAGCAATACATAACGGACGTAATAGTGCCTGTCCGAAAATCACAGCTATATTGCCTTTTTATTAAACCTTTATTTTGTCAGAGTCGTACTGTGAAGGCTGCCTTCCATTAGCCTCTCAGATCCTCATAGCCCTGTCCAGACAGACACCAGCTGTGACCTTCATATTACTGTTGGTCCAGATCCAGGATGTCGTAGAGCTCAGAGAGCCATTGTGACTGAGATCGTGGTCACTCTGTCCTTCCCATCACCCCTGCTGCCGTGGAGCCTAAACAGGGACAGGGAGTGACCAATACTCACCTCCTGCTGCCGTGGGGCCTAAACGGGGACAGGGAGTGACCAATACTCACCTCCTGCTGCCGTGAAGCCTAAACGGGGACAGGGAGTGACCAATACTCACCTCCTGCTGCCGTGGAGCCTAAACGGGGACAGGGAGTGACCAATACTCACCTCCTGCGGCCTTGGAGCCTAAACAGGGACAGGGAGTGACCAATACTCACCTCCTACTGCCGTGGAGCCTAAACGGGGACAGGGAGTGACCAATACTCAACTCCTGCTGCCGTGGAGCCTAAACGGGGACAGGGAGTGACCAATACTCACCTCCTGCTGCCGTGGAGCCTAAACGGGGACAGGGAGTGACCAATACTCACCTCCTGCTGCCGTGGAGCCTAAACGGGGACAGGGAGTGACCAATACTCACCACTTGCTGCCGTGGGGCCTAAACGGGGACAGGGAGCGACCAATACTCATCTCCTGCTGCCATGGAGCCTAAAGTGACCAATAATCTTTGTCTGGAGCATTCAGTCACATGGAAGTGTCATGGAAGTGAGGCATTATAAAGTATTTTAGGCTGCGTTGTTATGACAAAGCAAGTGTTATCTTTCAGGCAACTTTGGATATTCAAACATCATTGCAGACATAGTACTTGCTAACTCTTGTGTTTGGCAGTCTTAAACATAATATTGTTTACTATACAATGCCCTTTGTATTGTACAACCATAGATTTTACTTAGACAAAGGTGAATCCAGACATGTTATAGTGTTGTTTTTAGCACTCTATTCAACACATCTGTTTCATTAACGGTGACTCAATCTTGCCATTGAACTACGTGAGAAGGATTTTTTAATACATGCCAGGCCTTGTCATTGAGCGGACTGTTGTCCAGATTGGATTTATACTGCCACCATGTGTTTGAAATATGGAATTTATTCAACAATCTACTAATTATAAACTCAGTATTCAAAGTGAATTTCCGTGTAGTTTCCTATTGTTCATTCATTTGTTTCGGAAGTCTACTTTATATGATTTTAGGTTCATGATTTATTAATTGGATTTCCAATTGTAATTTCCCTGATGTTATAATAAAATTATATCTCTATATATGTGCATGTGCAATATTCGGTCATAAGTCCAGGTTTGATAATAATATACTGTCCTGTCTGTATCAGAGAGAGGACGCCGAGGCCAAAGCCTGTGAGGCGGAGCGTCAGCGTCTGGAGAGAGAGAAACACTTCCAGCAAGAGGAACAGGCTCGTCTGGAGAGGAAGAAGGTAGAGACCGGAGGGATGCGGGAAGGAGAGATGGAGGGGTGACAGGAAGAAGGATGTGGTCAGGAGAGATTAAGGGAGTGGCGGAGCGATGGGGGAAGAAGTGGTGGAGGAATGAGTTGAGTAGAGCAGAGATGGTGGGGAGATTATGGAGGAGTTTGGAAGAGGGGTGAGGTGGTGATCAACTCAATGAATCCAACCATCTGACCTTCACAGAACAACCTCGAGATCTCTAGATAACATGTTAAAGATACGGTACATTAACTTATGAAGTGGAACTAATCATCTGATGACTTGGTTTGCCTCTGATCTTTGACAGCGTCTTGATGAGATCATGAAAAGGACACGTAAGAGTGATGCTGGAGAAAAGGTATGTATTGTAATGTAGCAGAGTCTATATGCGTAAAGCACTCCCTGATAACCAGTCCTCGTAATTTGTAAACACCCGTGTTGCGCCCTTGGGTGACGAACAGCAAGCATTGAAACCACGTCCGTTTTTTTAATGTGAATACTTTTTTAAATAGCTGTAAATGACAACCTGTTGTCCGATGAGAAAATACATTTGTCCTCATACATACGGCCTCGTCTCTTGTTTTGGACTTTCTTATAACATGACATATTCGTGTTCTCCCAGCCTACACTGCCAAAGGATTCCAGTTCCCCAGCACAAGTCAATGGCAAGGACACTATGGAGCATCATAAAGGTGAGGGGAAATTAGGGTGGTGTTTGTCTACTGTCTTCACAATAACATACATATAATAACATATTTCCCAAGTGGACTTGGATGGTTAAAACGGTCATTTCGTTAAAAGAGAGAGGACAAAGACAAGAACATTTTCCCATAAAATAATATTCAAGCATTCAGTGCAAACAATAACAGTCCAGCCAAGGACATATACTGGTTGATTAATGAATTACCGGGACCCTTTTTTTTCAGCAGTTCCTGAGAGACAGCAAATTGCAGCAGAGTTCACCCCTACACTGAATGGTGTCCAACCAGCCAATCACCAAAATGGCCTCTCGGCCAATGGGAACGTTTCTGACTTCAAGCAGATTATTCAGCTGTCCAATCACAGCGGGAGCAACTGTGGGCCGGGGCAAACGGTGAGCGGTAATGTTAGCGCTTCAATCCTGGCCTTGGAGGAAGCAGAACCCTTCCGGATGAAAACAGGATCCATGAAGCCTCAGCATGTTGCAGGTAGCTAAGACGATAACCGACATATTTAATGTCTGAGAATTTATTTTCTTCTGCCTGTCGAAGATATCTGAGATATTTCATGCGTTAATATTTATTGTTCAGTGCATAACCAATCGTTGCCAGCAGGGGGCTCTAAGTCCATCTTAGCCTTTGGGCACACTGTCTTAGTTAGTGAGCAGAGCATAGATCCAAAATTGGAAATAGGAGCCTGGTCTTGTTTGGTTGCCTATAAGTTAGACAGCCAACCCAAGCACCAATTCTTTTGGCAAAGCAAACAAAAAAGCAATCGGATAGAAAGAAATGGTTCGGTTATAGTAATACATTACATATTCTTGTGCCAAAAAATCCAGTGTGCTATAACGGGCTTGTGAAATACAATTTCCAGAACTAGAGCTTGTAATTATGAGGTTGCAAGTATTTGCAATGCATCAGGCTTTGTGCGCTATAGGCCTGAATAATGTCTAATGTTCACAGTTAAAGTCTAAAGCAATGCTGATTAACTATTTATTGTTAATTTTTATGTTTCCTCTTTCTCACACTCTGTTCCCTCTGTCTTGCGCTGTTCCCTCTCACTCTGTGTTCCCTGTGTCTCACCTGTGTACCGTGTCTCTCACCCTGTGTTCTCTCTCACTCTGTATTCCCCGTCTCTCACCCTGTGTTCTCTCTCACTCTGTATTCCCCGTCTCTCACCCTGTGTTCTCTCTCACTCTGTATTCCCCGTCTCTCACCCTGTGTTCTCTCTCACTCTGTATTCCCCGTCACTCACCCTGTGTTCTCTCTCACTCTGTATTCCCCGTCTCTCACCCTGTGTTCTCTCTCACTCTGTATTCCCCGTCTCTCACCCTGTGTTCTCTCTCACTCTGTATTCCCCGTCTCTCACCCTGTGTTCTCTCTCACTCTGTATTCCCCGTCTCTCACCCTGTGTTCTCTCTCACTCTGTGTTCCCCGTCTCTCACTCTGTGTTCCCTCTACGTTCTTTTTTACCTTGTCCGTTTTCCTGCAGAAGTCCTTTGAATCTTCCGATGAGACGTGTCTTACACCACAAGTTGAGTAAATCGATTTCTGCCACACACCGTGGAAGCTTATAAAGGAAGTGTGCCAAACTAAGAAACAAACCATGGACTGCTTTAAATTGATAGCATCTATTTAATAGGTCGAGGAGAGGTCAACATTTGTTAAAAAAAATTCTAAATTGAAAATGCTGAAAATGTTAACCGTCTTCTTCCGAGCGTGCTACGGTGCAACATGTATGTTCTTGAATTTTACTGAAAATGTCACATGTCGACTTTATGGTGCACCTTAAACAACTTTAAGATGGAATATTATGAATTTTAGAGTGTTATACGAGATCTGGAATTATACATTTTTTGACTATGGTTGTCATCATCATGGCTACTACCGCTGTTGTTATTCAATTGCTATTGTTAAGTTGAACCAAGTGTGTTAGCTCTTTTTGTCTTGAATCACTGTCATTTAACTAGGGGTGAAACTGTGTGAGGATTCTCTATGACATCACACAGTGTATGTAAATGAACCTGGCTGTCTAGGCCTCCTGCCATTGGGGTAGATGTGGAATAAAGTTATATGAAAGGGAGACTGACTGTTTTTCTTTCCACATCTGTCTGGGTTTCTTAGCCACTTTCCCCGATGTTTTTCCCTTAAGAACACCCCCTCTTTCCCTGTCTCTGGTCTGTTATAGGAGTATGGTACGACTAAAGGCTACATTTGATCTATGTGTGTTCTCGAGTTTTACATTTGACTCTAACTTTAGCCTGTCGCTGCTTAGAACACTGCAAAGCTATATATAAGGAAACAAAGCATATGTAGTATGTTACTATATAACATGACTCCTTTATCTATAAGC